ATTTTCTATTATAATCATCATCATCATCATCATCATTATCATTATCATTATTATTATTGTCATTATATTTATTACTATTCTTATCTTTATCATAATGATTACTAGGAGAACATTGCATACTTTCGGGATACAATTTGACAGATTTTCATACCGTCGAAAAACTTATAAAATTGTGTTGGAACATGCAATAACCAACTTGACCCCTTTTTCTTTTCTTGTTTTTTTTAGGGGGTATGGGGCGGTTGGTTGGGACACTACATTTTGCATGGATAGCACCTAAAAAAGCCGAATGCGGCCATATTATGTATGAACGATTGGATATGACCACAATCATGCAAACAAAGACTTTGATGATGACACTGGAGGGGGGGGGGGGTCGGGCTCATATCTTGGTGTCGCCACCAATCTCAACCGAGCTGAACGGTTACGGTTTGAAGTGCAAGCATTAGTACATTGTCCCAGCAGTTGGCTATAATGTTTGCCTAACATGTCTAGACTCTACCATGGCCACTGTTGAGGCATATCATTATCAATGTGGATGTTTTAGAACCTATGTTACATGCAATTTTTTATCATATTTGATTCGACTTTTCAAAATTTGATTTAGTTTATTGATTATGATCATATTTTCAAACCTATAGTCCTGCATAATTATATTCACGCGCGTTAATGTAACATTCATACAATATTTGTTAATGTAGTAGGCCTACATGCACAGAAAATGTAAGAAATTCAGCAAGTTAAGCATGCACTGAGAACACACTGATATGAATTAGATTTAGGAAGGCTGCAGTGTTGACCTATTTTACCATTAGTTTTCCTCACTAGTCAATGTTAATGATCTGATTTGCATGTAAATATCAATGCGAATGTTTTAGATCATAATTATACATATATATATATATATTTTATTTGATAAGTGAACATTTTGCCTTTTAATTTTTCTTTCTAAATAAAAACCTAAAAACAAGTCTATACAATGGTGTAGTCTAAGTCTGGCCATTGGGAAGGGGGGGGGGTACTAAAGGCATGATTCCAAAATAAATTTAGTATTTTAAATTTCACTTTGACCGAGTGGGATCCACTACTAAATAATAAATCATTGATGACTTTGGCAGCCGTGTCACTTTCTTTACCCCCCCCCCCTCTCTCTATGCCATTTTTGTTTTGTTGGGGGGGGGGGCACATCTCCATGCCTCTGTAGACCTCAATCCTTTCACTAATTTTCATAAGATATAAACCCAAATACAGCAACACAAAAACTACGTATATCCATAATCTATATAGAAATTGATAGAAATTGATAAGAATTAAGGAAAACGTGAATATCATTAGAAAGCTAAGAAGGGTTGTTATAAAGACAAGACAAAAATAATGTAATTAAGACGAGTCCCAATAGGCTTATCCTGATGACTAGAATTAACTTCCAAAACATGAAGGCGGAATTTGCACAAAATTAATGTTATTTATCAATATTATTATTAAAAATTCATAATACTTTTTCTTAGAGACTTGCGGATATTATAGTGCACAATAGTACAGCATAATTTGACGAAATCCCTTTTCCCTAATTCTCAACAATTAAAAATGATTACAAACAAAAGTGTCCAAATCATCATGGCCATCAGTCTTTATGAATTCAAACAACATTCTTATGTAGTCTAAAGCAAAGCTAGGCTATATTTGCCATGGACCATAATACAATTTCACCCTGCTAATCATTGTTTTTGACGAATAATAAATTAGCAGGTTGAAATTACCATTGTAATATACAAACGGTGATTTGATTCCAAATAAGAATAATCTACAAAATGTATTCAGAGCTAGATGCACACGTACATTGATGATTATGATGACTGTCATTGTGTGTGCAACAGAAATAATTTTTGTTCATCACCTCAGTATTTCCTACATTTTGTCAAAACTATGTCGAATATCCTTTACATCTCCATTGAATATACATGCATGAAGTGCAAATTGTATAGGATAATGCTTGAAATGCCAAGCAGGTCAAGATGTTACAACGGGTTAACAAAAGCAGACCGTCGGAATTATATGCAACACTATACCGAGCTATGATGATGTATGTACTAGTAAAATATCGAAATGATCGAGAGAACCGTATTTAAAGGAGCAAGATTCTGCAAGCGCACACTTGTAGTTATTCTTAGAAAGTATATGGCGAAGGTCATTTTATTGCGAGCCGCCGATCGAGGTCGCGCTCATAATAATTAGCGCGCTCTTCTCGCAAGATGCAATCACGACCAAAATGACTTGATCAACATCCAGCACTAGTATCTTAAATCTTAAATCATATCTTATTTGATTTCTTACCATGGTTGATTGCTTGGATATGCTTCTGACGACTGAAGGATGGTCGATGTCAACTGCAGTCTCGATAGCATTTGCGAAGCAGTAGTCGTAAGGTGTGGCTCAGTGCATTAACATCAGATGAAGAGAGAGAGAGAGAGAGAGAGAGAGAGAGACGAAGAGGGGAGAGAAAGAAAGAAAGAGAGGGGGAGGGATGCATTCGATTCGACGGACGGACTTTCGCCGGACCCGAGGAGCAACGCCATGCATAGCGGTAGACACCTGCAAATTCGGAATCGAATAGAGCGAAGGCATTTTCTTGATTTATGCAGCGGAGAAGTCATCTCATTCACGATTTCGATTTAGCGCCATCTCGCGACTAAATAGTTGATTTCCTTGCTCGAATTACATGGTTGTGTGTTTTTGTTGGTGTTTGTTTTTTACCGGAT